AATCTCCCCATTTGCTCGCATTGCTAACCTGAGGCAGGGGTCTCTCAGATAACAAGACCCTCTGCCCCCGGGTGTAAAGAAGTGATCATAACTCTTTGACCTGCCTTTCCACCTGGTCAGACTTCATAGAGGGCTGCGCAGAGGGGATGCCCCCGAGTGCAGGAGGAGCCTGTCGCAGGGCGGCCTGCACTCCCGCAGGAGCCGCCCAACGGGGACAAGGCGGCCGGGCGCGAAGCCAACTCTCCGGAGCGCGTTCCTCCCGGGCCCCACGGGCTCTCCAGGAGGCAGCCTTCCTCTCCGAACCCCCGCCCCAGACTCTTCCTAGAGGGGCCATCCGCCCTGTGCTACTCACCGCTAACCGCTTCGCACCAGCACAGTCAGGCCCGGGGGTCTCACTTTCTCCAGAGGAAGGAGTGAGGATGGGCGGGGAAAGCAAGAGGAAGAGGAGGGCGTTTCCAACAAAAACAACCTAGAGCGTGGATGGGAGGAGGCCTGGAGTTGGCGGACACTCCTCGGGCGGACACCCTGCCCTTCCCCCCCTTCCTCTCCACCCCCCTTCCCCTCCACACCCCCCTTCTCTCACACACACACACACACACACACACACACACGCACGCACACGGCTCAGACTCCGCCCCACGCGGTGAGCCCCAAGGGTCGCACTGGAATCAGCCTCCAATTACAAGCCGGGGGGGGGGGGGGGGGGGGGGAAGGGAAAAAAAAAGAAATGGCCCCCCTGTAACCGGGGGGGATTGGAAAGAAAAAAAGCAAGATAAGGGGGGGGGACAAACAGGGAAAGGAAGGGTCCCAAAGCCCAAAGGAAAGGCCCTGGCGGGGGTTATTGATCCCAAGGAGCGCGCAGAGAAACCACTGTCGTTTGCATCTGCTCCGACCACACGCCCTTGACTGGGAACTGGCCTTGGCTGTGCAAACTAGGCCTGAAACACTCGGGTGCGAGCCCAGGCTTTTTTCCCCCCACGGATTGAAGGAGGCCAACTGGCTGTGGAAGGGAGTCCTGGGGAGAGGGGAAGGGAGCAGGATGCCTGTGTTTTCTGACATTTGGTGCAAAATGCCATTCGTTAATTGCCCTCATTAGGACAAAACCTTTTTCAGACTAATGGGTTTAGGTCTGTGGTGGTCCATGGGCGGGGGTTGGGAGGTGGGGACGGGGGGCTGGGGGAGGGCACAGGGACTGGGAGAATATTAATGTCCCTGACTTTATAAAGGATCAGGCTGGGCATAAGTAAATTAGCTTAAGCTCTGAGGAGTACTTGACAGGGCTCCACTTTGGGAGAAGTTTGGATAGGTGAAGGCATGTAGGAGTGGAGTTCTGGAATTTTCTGTTTTCTTTTGTTGTATGACATTTGTTAGTATGCCTGTGAGAATAGATTTTTTAACATTTATATTGTATTTCTCAGTAATAATTGCACAGAACATTACCCAAGTAGAGGGATAGTGTTATACTGAAAGCATAAAACAAGCTGGTGTCAAAACTACAGCAAAATATGATACTAAATATTTAGTAGCTTTGTTTTTACTTCATAAGCATGATCAAGAATTTGAGCTCATGAATTCAAACATATACAATGTCCACATGAAAGATGACAAAAAAAGTTCAAGAGCAAAATATATCTTTTGAAATATATTGCTTTGGGGGATAAAGAAATAATTGAAATTATATCATATGCCCAAATCATAAGTTTTGAAAGGAAGTAGAATTGTTAAAACACTTGTATGTCTTTCTAAAATTCCTGATCTGATACCATTTCAATTTAGGGGATGACAAATTCACTATTTATGTACCAATTCCATTTTTAGTTGCTCCTTAGTTACATCTCTTTGCAGTAATTTCTTTTTACTGTTTTTTTTTTTACGTTACTACAATTGGCTTAGAGTTAATATTGTACCTTGTCATATAAATTTGCAAAAGCACTTTTTGGCTCTTCAATCCTATGTACCATTGCCATTGCTATGTGTCACATGCACACAAATTAAAAGCTATATAATAAAATATAATATTTTGCTAAAGCAGTCAGTTGTCTTACTGATATGAAGAGAAGAAAAAATAGAGCTTTTATTTTTGCCCAAATATATATAATTATATGGGCTTTTTATTTTTTCTTGTAGATAAAGTTTTATCCATTGTCAATTCCCTTAAGGTTTAGAGAATTTCCTTTAATATATTTTGTACTGTATTATAGCTGGAAATAAATTCTCTCAGCTTTTTTTTTTAATCTGAAAATACTTTTTATTTTGTATGAATTTTTGAAATGGTGTCTTCATTAGGTAAAGAATTTTGGGTGGACAGATTTTTCTTTTTCACCATAAGTTTTGAATTCCATTTTTATCTATGGAATTCATAATACTGGTTTTAAGATTAACTTTTTTTTAACATATGTCCCTATTATTCCCCCATTGACCACCTCCAGCCCACCCCCACACACTGAGTCGGCCTCTGCACCTTATTGTCTGTGTCCATGGGTTATGCACATATGCATACAAAGTCTTTGGCTAATTACCTCCCACCCACCCATGCTTCCCCCCCTTCCCTCTGAGATTCTGAACTCTGTTCCATGCTTCCATGTCTCTGGATCCATTCCGTTCATCAGTTTATTTGGTTAATTAGACTCCACATATGAATGAGATCATGTGATGCTTGTCTCTGTCTTACTGACTTATTTCACTTAGCATGATACTCTCCAGGTCCCTCCATGCTGTCTCAAAGGATAAGAGATTCTACTTATTTACTGCTGCATAGTATTCCATGAAATAGCTTTTCACCACTCATCTGATGTACCACTCATCTACAGATTGGCACTTGGACTGTTTCCAGATCTTAGCTATTGCAAATTGTGCTGCTATGAACATAGAGGTTCATACATTCTTTCTGATTGGTGTTTCAGGTTTCTTAGGATATATTCCTAGAAGTGGAATCACTGGGTCAAATGGCAGTTCCGTATTTATTTATTTTTTAAGGAAATTCTGTACTGTTTCACATAATGGCTGCACCAGTCTGCATTCCCACTAGAAGTGTATTAGGGCTCCTTTTTCTCCACATCCTCCCCAGCACTTGTCATTTGTTGATTTGATGATGGTAGTTGTTAACAAGTGTAAGGAGATACCTCATTGTCCTTTTAATTTGCATCTCTCTGATGATCAGTGACTTTGAGCATTTTTCATATGTCTCTTGCCATCTGTATGTCCACTTTGGAGAAGTGTCTATTTAGGTCCTTTGCCCATTTTTTAATTGGGTTGTTTGTCTTTATCTTGTTAAGTTGTATGAGTTACCTATATATTTTGGATATTAACCCTTTATCAGATGTATCATTGCCAAATATGTTCTCCCATATAGTGGGCTCCCTTTTCATTTTGTGATGGTTTCTTTTGCTGTGCAGAAGTTTTTTATTTTGATGTAGTCCCATTTATTTTCTACTAAGTTTCCTTTGCCCTAGGAGATGTATTGGTAAATATATTGCTCCAGAGATGTCTGAGATTTTGCTGCCTACGGTTTCATCTAGGATTTTTATGGTTTCAAGACTTACATTTAATTCTTTTATCCATTTTGAGTTTATTTTTGTGTATAGTGTAAGTTGGTGGTCTAGTTTCATTTTTTTTTTTTTTGGCATGTATCTGTCCAATTTTCCCAACATCATTTATTGAAGAGACTGTTTTGACTCCATTGTGTGCTCTTGCCTACTTTGTCAAATATTAATTGAGAGTAATGGCTTGGGTCAATTTCTGGGTTCTCTGTTCTGTTTCATTGATCTCTATGCCTGTTCTTGTGCCACTACCAGGCTGTTTTGATTTTGGTGGCTTTGTAGTATAACTTGATATCTGGTATTTTTACTCCTCCAACTTTGTTCTTCTTTCTCAAGATTGCTACGGCTATTTGGAGTCCTTTTTGGTCCAAAATATATTTTTGAAGTATTGTTCTAGTTCTGTGAAATATGCTGTTGTTATTTTAATAGGGTTTGCATTGAATCTGTAGATTGCCTTGGGTAGTATGGACATTTTAATGATGTTGATTCTACCAATCCATGAACACAGAATATTCTTCCACTTGTTTATATCTGCCTCTATCTCTTTTCTCAATGTCCTGTAGTTTTCTGAGTACAAGTCTTTTACCTCCTTGATTAAGTTTATTCCTAAGTATCTTAATTTTCTTGTTGCAATGGTAAATAGGATTGTATTTTTGATATATCTTTATGAGAATTCATTATTGGTGTATAAAAATGCCATTGATATCTCGGTGTTGATTTTGGATTTTGCTTCATTACCAAATTCATTTATTAAATCTAGTAGGTTTTTTGGGTGGAGTCTTTAGGGTTTTCTATGTACAATACCATGTCATTTGTGAAATAATGAGAGTTTTACTTCTTCCTTTTTAATTTGGATGCCTTTTATTCTTCTTCTTGTCTGATCACTGTGGTTAGAACTTCCAGTACTATGTTGAATAAGAGTAGTAAAAGCAGACATCCCTGTCTTGTTCCTGTTTTTAGGGGAAACACTTATTTTTTTTCCCATTGAGTATGATGTTCACTGTAGATCTGTCGTATATGGACTTTATCATGTTGAGATATGCTCCCTCTCTTCTCACTTTGCTGAGAGTTTTTATCAAAAATGAGTGTTGGATTTTGTTGAATGCTTTTCTGCATCTATTGATATGATCATGTGATTTTTGCCTTTCAATTTGTTTATGTGATGTATCACATTTATTGATTTGCAAATATTGTACCAGCCTTGCATCTCTGGAATAAATCTCACTTGGTCATGGTGTATTATCTCTTTAATATATTGTTGGATCTGATTTGGTAATATTCTGCTGAGAATTTTAGCATCTGTTTTCATCAGGGTTATTGGCCTGTAATTTTCTTTCTTTGTAGTGTCTTTTTCTGGTTTTGGAATTAGGATATTGCTAACCTCGTAAAACGAGCTTGGAAGTGCTTCTTCCTTTTGCATTTTTTGGAATCGTTGGAGGAGGATAGGTTTAAATTATTCTTTGAAGGTTTAGTAAAACTCACCTGTGAAGCCATCTAGACCAGGGCATTTGTTTGCTGGGAGTATTTTAATTACTGCTTCAATTTCATCAGTTCTTATTGACCTATTCACATTTTTTGATTCTTTCTGATTCAGTTTTGGGAGATTGTAATTTTCTAGGAATTTTTTGATTTCATCCACATTGTCCAGCTTATTGGCATATAGTTGTTCATAGTATTTCCTTACAGTCTTTTCTATTTCTGTGGTGTCAGTGGTTACTGCTCCGCTTTCCTTTCTGATTTTATTTTTGGGGGCATCCTCTCTCTTTGTTTCTTGATTAGCATGCTAGAGGTTCATCAATCTTGTTTATCCTTTCAAAGATCTATCTCTTGGTTTCATTGATTTTTTGTATTGCTTTTCTAGTCTCCATGTCATTTATTTCTGCCCTGATCTTTATTATTTCCTTCCTTCTACTTACTCTGGGCTTTTCTTGTTGCTCTCTAATTCTTTAAGTTTTAGGATTAAATGCTTTA